AACACAGGCGATTACACATGTTTTTGTCTGAAACTGCGATAGTGCAAAACTTCTACAACAATCTGTTTGTTTTCGTCATGTCTTGAAACATCAGGGAAACGACGAAAAACAAAATATGAACGAAGGTAATTAAGATATAGCGAAGTTTTGCTTGCATGGTTTCAATCTCGTGAGCACACAAACAGAATCACTCTGATGTGATTTTCTCGCATGTGTGTTTCTTGCGCTTGCGGACAACCATCCCTTCGGAAAGAAAATTGGGCGTCACGCTGGCGCACTCCCGAAGAAACGCACTACGAGTTAATAGGATTAGATTTTTATGGACAATGTCATCTGCCTTGCTAGTGTTTGCTGCCTTTCCTAGATACATGTTTACAAGTGTCCTTTTACCATCCATGACGGGATGCACATTTTCGATGTGAAAACTACACAGAACGACTAAAAACGGTCCGTGTTTAGAATAAAAAAGCAATTTTTGTTTGGATCTGCTTGTTTTGCACGGAATAAATAGGATAAAGTCCGACATACAAGCATAGTGTAATCAATTTAATTAAAACGACTTATACAACGTCCTCGTTAAAACACAAAATTTTGTTTTGTAGTATTACATCATTGTTGGATTGTAGATTTTAATCTTTTTATTTTTAAAGTATCGCGATTCTATTGACGTCATATTTAATCACTTTGATTGTGCTTTTATTTTTTAATTGTTGGTTGCTAGTTTTCTATGATGTATTGATGAACCGGTGTAATATTAGGTCCTTTCATGCGTCGTGTGGTTCCGAAGCAATCCGCTAATCGGCGCAAATAGTCCATTGTCTCCGCAAGGGACGGCGGCGGGGCCAGAGGCACAGCGTGAGGCTTAAATTCTGTCAATAACTGGCGTTTGTCTATCGTCAAACTCCGCATTCCGGCCGCCTAAACATTTACAATAACAACAATCAGTCGCTCGCAAACAAACACAAACATCCAGCGTTGTTGGCGTGTGGCGCAACGTACGCACTGGGTTTCAGTTTCGTAATATTAGTATAGGACCGGATCGCAGATGAGATCTAAAACAAACACAATCATCGATAGACAATAGTCGAAATGTTTGAAATTTGCGCCGCCGGCCACAGCCTGCTTGTAATTTCAGCGACCATCGATACAAATCGCGGATTTATTTGATCAATTCGATTCTCAAAATAAACATCGTTTGGAAATTTTGCAAATCCTCTACACTTAACATTAATGCTCGTATCATAAACGCATTAGGAGAATTCTTCATTTTTGCTCGCGGTGAATTCGTGGGAAATTTTATGATTTATGTCTTTTGCGATTTATTTCCAGCTATAATGTGTATTTAAAAGTGATACACATTGAGATATCGACGCGACGAATGCTCTAAGGACTTCGGCACAGCCATTGAAATTGAAATTCCGAGCGAATTTTCGACATTTTTAGGTATTTTTTGCGCGTTTTGCTCGAGCGTGTGCAAAGAGGAATAAAACGAAATGTCATCGAATATTCCTATAAATTTTACCATTTGCGCTGCGGTGGCAGCGGCGGGGGTGGCGATGCAGCCAGTGCGCTCGATAAGCAAGGCGTTTAGTCCTGAAAGGACACGCTCGAGCGGAAGTAATGTTTTCCAAATAGCGCGGTTATACCCTTTTCTAAATCTACTAAATCTACCTTTAAAACTCACACTCACCAAAATATATTTATTTGAATTTTAATTTTACGATTTGCAATATTTAAAAACGTAAACAACACAAGAAATTGTTTTAAATATTTTAGAGATAAAAATAAGCTCTTGTTTATTTGTGGACTTTAAATTAACTGTTTGGATTCTTGGCCAGTTGCCAGATTGTGCCCTAAAATCTCGATTCTGTAAGCTTTTCAGTTAAATAACTCCGTTTTGCGGATCCGAAATCAGCGTTTTTCAGAGCACAAAGCGATTAAACGCCCGCTTCCGGCCGAAAAAACAAACGGAACCGTTATCCTTAAAATCCATTCAGACCCAGAATGTTTTTAACCTATTTTCCAATCGCCTCCACAAACGGGCAAGAATAAATTTCTTATGAAAGGTCCAGGCCTTCACGCTACATTTGCGCGGCGTGTCGGCTTTCACGCCTCCACTGAACTTCCCCGAACTAACCACGGAAGCGCCTTGATCGATGTGGTCGTGATTTCAGTTAAAAGCTCTCTGCCAGCAGCACTACTTGCATCAGGTCTGCGATCAAAAGCTTTCGCAAATAAAATTAGCGCCTCCTTGGAAGAGCCGTACCCTGATGGACTCGGCAAGGAATAGTGCTAGTGCCGGGTGCAGTGTTCATTAAAAGAGACAATCTCTTGAAAGCTCTGGCGGCTTAATGATATGGCACTTGGCGTGTTAATATAATTCGCGGTTTCCAATACGCGGCGGAGAGCTTTTGGTGGAGGCGCCGAAGGTGGCGGGGGTCGGCCATTAGCATGCGCGTCACGAGTTGAACATATAACCAGATTAGCATCTCCTTTGTAGCTGAATGTTCGCATGTATGCCACAGCCGAAAACCCACGTCGAAAGCTCTGCAGTGCACTCCTTCGACAACGCTCGGGTGTCAAAACCACATAGGAGTTGACTACACATCTCCAACAAACATCCAAAAATTATTTTTGTTGTTTCTAACAGCTTTTATAATAATATTCCTGCTAAAAGAAATTTATTTGATTATTTAGACATAAATGGCATTATGGTTTATAAAGATAAATAATCTTTTAGGTTGAATTATATCTTTTAGAAGAAAACTTCCGGTGACAAGCAGTATGTTGTTAAAATGCAGCACATAGCAAGGCAACTCGTAAGATTATTCCATTAATGTAATGGCACGGTCTGAAGCGGAATCGAAAGCTCGAGCGCCACTCACGAACGCACGATCCGCGCGATTCGTGCAGCCGGCGTCGAAATTCTATTGCGCCCCGTCACTCCTAGACTCTCGGAGGACTCTCGTTCTTTGGGCTCTTCGACGCCGAAGACGTCGCGTAATTTCGCATGAAGACGAGCAATTATCCTCGCGTCTGCCGGTGATGTGCGCGCGCTCAGCGCTAATTAACAACAGTTCAAATATATCAAACCCAAGCGCCGCGCACCGGCAAAACTATTAAACTTTGTATAATTATTTGCTCTGCGTGCGAAACACGAAGTGATTTTTTGGTCCTTACGATTGTCTCTCTCGACTTCCGCAACGTACAAGAGGCGGAAAATGCTTTTTGTTTCGCTTGGGCGATTTGAAATTTGTTAATATAAGCGAAAAGCTCGCAGGACCCCCATTATCGCCAGATTTGTCGACAATTATACAACTAAACTGGAAGCAATTTTGCCGCCACGCTGGCAATGTCTTCGCGTTATTGTTTCGGCACCTCGTCGGAACGGCAACTGTCGACGTCACTTTTAATTACGCTACAATGAGAAGCGCGCGGCACCATCGACACGAACGCCGTTCTCCGTAACGATATAGCCGCGCGAGCATAATCAGCGTTAGGGGTGTCGAAGAATCGTGGTGGCAGAGCAAGGAGTGCGCTTAATATTTATCACCTTTGATGCGTTGCAGAAAACACTAAACACGATTACTGCTTTTATTATATTTACGAGCATCGTCAAAAACGTCCCGCACCGCCATTGTCATCGTCATTGTCTTCCTGGCAGATTCAAAGCCGCCTCGTAAAGTCCTTCCTTGACGGTGGTGGTTCATCGCGCCCTGCGGTGAGACAACGCTCACGATGGAGATGATAGAGGATTAGCTAAAGTCGTAAAACACCTCTGGTATCTCATGCGCGTACAGAGAAATTACACAAAATGGCGCCGGTTATCATATTCAACTTGTGCGCCATCTGCTGCCAACCTACATAAACAAACAAAAATTGTGTTTCAATTTTTGTGCGGCTTGTTTTTTTACTGGTGATGCGGTAAAATGTTTTGGGGATGCTTTTCTTGTATCGGTACTTGCATCGCATAAGATATGTACATTTGAAAGTATAAATTCGACTCGTTGTTGAGGGTTTGAGGGGCTTCCGCCGCAAATTCCACTTTACTACCTTTGCCACCACCCCCTATCTATCGTACCGCATAGGGGTGGTTTCTTTTATTCAATTATTTGAATATTTTCACCGTTTCCTTGCGTTTCCATTCGAGCGGTCGCGACGTAACGACGCGCGCGCAAAGTGAATTATTTATAAATATAATATACGCGCGCCCGCAGACGAGAAAACTTGCATGTAAACATCCTTCAGGACCTTTCTGTCATTGAACGAAACTCGGTCTCGGGACATGCGATGTGTGAGATGTTTAAATGTGTGCTTTAAGATGCAAGCAGGAAAGTCTTTAGACATCTCGACGTTTATGCGTTCGCCGAAGTTTCCATTTCTGCATGACTCGGCCTAAGCTGGATTGACGCGCATCCTACGCGATCCCGGCATGAATGCATGCAAACACGCGTTTCGGAAGCAGCAGGATGATGCGTTGGCGTGGGGAGTCAGAGATTTCGAGCTGACAAGCGCTCCGCTGTTGTTGCGAGCACAAGAATCAAGAAATTCCACCAAATAACAATGCTTTTTAAATACATTTGTAAAAAATTCTACGTTAAACATATGTCGTGTCACTCAAAGATATTTTTCTATATTTGTACACAAAATAATACACTAATACACTAATTTTATTTGCTCATTATTTAGCTAGACAATTGTGCGGATTTACAAGTTGGGCAATTGTACTGATTCGTTTTGCATTTGCGATCAAATACAATCAGGCGATCAAAAGGCACATTGTGGTCTTGACGACTACTCTTTGGAGAGCATAGTTTTCCGGACAAACACGTTTGGTCATTCCGACGGAATTTGCTCTTTGTCCGTTTGAATTTACAATTTGTCAAACTGACCTAACTATCGCGCACCAGAAATGCAGTAACTGCCTGAAATTGTATACGCAAACAAACAAAATTTACTTAGTTGTACCTGAATAACAAAATTGTGTTTTTTGCTTACAGGGATCGAGTATTCAGGCTGAATCTAAGCAACATCAACCAGTCCAGTTGCGACGTAAGTTAATTTTGTAAATCATGTTTTTATTGGTTGTTTCGTTTCGTGAAATTGGCGGGCGATTTTTGCATCGCGCATTTATGAAATTAAGTTATTTAGAGTGGATTGTACGGACGAATCTCGAATTGCGAGATTCCTGTTTAGTACACTCGAGTTTTTAATATTTTAAAAACTCGCTCCCTCTTATTTGTAACCGAACTCCAACGCCCGGCAGAGTTGGAAGTTTAAGCTCTCTCGAGACGGATAGTCGAGACGCGCACGCACACCTCTAATTCCGCGCACAGCCATCTTCGTGGAAAACCAAAAGAAGGACACGCCGAGCATCCCCAAACGATATTAAATTCGCAGCATTCTGCGCAATTACCAGCGTTTTAAAAACTCATTTTCCATTCGCATCTTTTATTTTTTTTCCTTCCAACTTCTTGCGATGCTTCGGAAACATACTCTTCTGCAGTCCAATGCAGCAGCATAGCATCTTTTTATTCTTCGTTTCGTTTTCATTTTCATTTTCGCTGTATTCATGTTTTATTTCGAGTTTCGAGTTTTTAGCAAAAGGAAGAAGTAATCGTCACTCCTCTGCTACTGAATACTTAAATGCTCAACAGGACAAATCTGAATTTTGCATCCGGTTCGTCTTTTGCTCTCTTCAACTTTGCTGTCTCTGAAAGTTCTCATCAGACTCAGACGCTAGCGTAGCGTCTTCGTTCCGGGCCGCGTAATTGGATTAAGAATTATTTAGAAGCTTGTGTTTTCTCTTCGACTGGAAGGTGTCCATTCGTCTCCCGTGGGAGATATGCTTGTCACGTTACCGCCACATTATGAAGCGACATAATAATATCTTTAATTATTCAGGGAGTTGCTTGTGACATCGCATTGCCGTTCATAATTTAGTGCCAACTAGAGACTCAACATTGTCAAATATGTCAAGGGAAGCGCAAGTAGAGCGAATGTAATCAAATGTATTGAATTGATTTAATTGTGCCATTTTGTTTGCAAATTGTTGCGGAACAATTTGTCCGTTTCGTTTCAATCGAAAAATTGTGTTCGTTTCAATGCACGAACGATATTGTATAGACAATAATAAAACGTTCAGCTATTTACGAAGGCTTTTTGGAGCTTTTCTGATTTTGAAGCTTGTGTGTTCGTTTTATATTGTCTGATTTTACTAAATATCTATCCGTTTCTTATGCGAACTTCCTGAAGATTTAATGTTGCAGTTCTGGTATTTTTTATTCTCATAAATATTTTCAAATCTGTGATATGTTTGGATGAATAATGATCGCGAAAATAAAAATTCATAATAATATTTCTAATGTAGTCAAAATTTGTGGTAATGCATTCTAAATTCGAAAAAGAACGTTAGGACATTTGAAAGTCCTAACGAAATGTGAATTATCACTTGTGCGATAGTTAAATGTGCGCAATAACAGGCGAAGGTCCGCGCGCGCACATTCATTGTCATCTTATCGTCGGGGGGCGGCGGACCGCATGCCTACATGTGGCACACACATGCGGCGTACCGCCGCCGCTGTCGCCGCCACCGCCGCGTTATCGAATGCAGCGGCGCGAACCCATTCACACAAATCGACCGAATGTAATCATCTGTACATGACAAATGTACCGCATTAAATGGGACCCATTCAAAACGCGGGCCCAAGTCGGATTGTTCAGCAACCCTCTGACAAAACCGCCCGCGCCACCAGCATTTCATGCCGTTTGCCGCCATTGTGATGGATAATTAACCACCATTTTGATTTTTAAATTCCGGCGACAATTTATTTTTTCAGGTATTGCTTTCTCTAACTTCACGATATTGTAATTCCACCCACGGAATGTTTCATTACTCACGCACGTTGTGGGTTGTAGCTGCATGTTAAACACACCGCCCCCCGACGGGGTAAATATCATAGTCGCGCGCTAAGTAAGATTAAGCGATTTTTAAGTGCCGCGCTAGACATTTCCACCCCCAACGAGCGATTCGAGCTAACCGCGAGGTTCGTATCAATCACAATAATTACAAATCCATCAAGCAAATTACGATTAGGTTGCTTAATTAATTATTAATATCATTTTCTTTGGTCAAACTGCAGAAATAATAAATAGCTACGAAAAGAGTTGCGATAAAAATATTTTTTTGTTAACAAAAATTCTATTTACTATGTTTTAACTTTCCCACTGCTTGAGGGCTGAGAAAGTGTTAGTCACACGCGCATTTTTGCCCCCAATGTGTGTTCCCCAGGAGGATTTCAACTGAACGTCAGATGCTGATGTGATATGGGATTGACAGGCGGTAAAAGCGTGCTCTGGTTTTTCACTTTCTGGCTTCACTCGAATACATCGAGAATTAATAACTAGTTTTGGGAATTTCGTTGTTTTCTACGATCGAGGGTGACTTCGCAAGTGTTTATTCAACATCCCACGTTCTACTGAATTGAAAATAGAAACGTATTCGTACAATCATCAAAAAAACATCGTTTTTGGAGATTTGGACATGTGCGGGCATGGCTTTCAACTCCCTTGTCAATTTGTATTCTATTATTCTGCTTGGATTTTAGTGCCGAAAACAATTTTTAGAGCTTTTAAGCTCTATCACGCGCGCGTTTTTAGCAAATGTGAGTGCGGTTCGGTTCTGTACTGTCCACGCCACCGCGTATCAGAAATACCACAGAAATAAATATCAAATATTGAACAATGCGGCGTGGAGGCCCCGACATTGCGAAGCAATATTTCAGGCTGGGAGATGCACAATGGAACCGAGAATTCCAATTATAAGTACGGATGGGCGACGGTGGCGGTTGGCGGCCGCAGTGGCGGTTTGGTTATTCCCTCACCAGCACGAAAATCCACTAAGTGGTGGAACCCTCTTCGTCATCGCGACCAAATATCGCGGGCGACTCGCCTCGGTTATGATTGCCATTAATATAATATTTATTGAAATTCTATACTTACCTTCAACCTAACCATCTAGAAGCAAGCAAAATCCCCTAAGGAGTGATTTCACACTCGCACATTAATAATGCAATATAATTAATTTCATCACAACTATCATAATGACTTCCACTTTATTTCGTGAGTTAATCTCAACTTAACTTAGGCTAGCAAACGACGTTTTAGGTTTTAGATATCTTCGGATTTGTTTGGAATCGTTTCGATTTACTTCCGAACGCGTTCGCTTTGTATCCCGATGATCGATATGTGTGCGCGAAAATGGGAATTCGATCCCATTATTCGAGTTACACCCACGACGACGATTTAGTTCTGCTCCTTAAGGTTTTTCGCGCGCTCTTTCAATCACGTCGCTTTCGGCGCTCGGGAAATCGTCTAAGGTACACATTATGAGTGTTGATTTAACGCCGCCGTAACACTACAGTCGGCAGAGTGTCGATGGATGTGATTAAGCAACGTAATTGAGAAGTTCGCACTTCGCACCCGAAGAAAACGAAGCAAAGGGAGAGGAAAAAGGATTGCAGAGATTAGAAGAAATTGGCGAACGGGAACATATAATTCTTTGGCTAGCAATAAATCTAGTTTTATGTCGCTGGTGAACTATAACCATCGATTTAATTAATAGGTCCGACCGGGATGATTACTCACCATATTCTGGGTCCTACTGTATGTAAAAAAAAACTTGTCTTTGTATTTTTGAAAAGTTAAAGTAGAATTTCTTAGGGGTTGAATCCGCAGAGTATCTTTCTTGAGCAACCCCCAAACCGCCGGCGGCTAGGCATCTCGCTGATGATCATCTTTGTGTGGCGCGCCAAGGGGGAGCCAAGATCACAGGGAGATTGAACGAGATGAGCGAGAGATGATACTCATTACGCTCTGTTGCAAATAGACTCATACCCATCGTAACTTTTAATAGTTAATATATGCATGCGCGAGCTTAAGGGCGCGGCAAAAATATTAGCTTCGCAACGCACCCTAAATATGTATCGAAATAAAGGTATTACAGTGTACGTGCACATCGATAAGAGGGTGGAAACTAGCTAGCAACTAGCAACTGCACCGTTTAAGAGTTGCCGAGTTTCATTTGAAGTTGACTTCGCTAAAGATCTTCGTGATCTTTATGTTTATTTTATCCTTGATCTTTGCGCCTCCGGGGGCGGTTCGCCTGCATTTGCATCTTTTCATAAACGCATAATCAAATACTCTAAATTGCCGAGTTAAATGATGCACGAACGAAAATTAATTTTCTTATTTATAGAACGTCGCTCTGTGCAAACACATCGACAGCACTTCTTGAGCCATGCAGAAATGCAGGAAGAAATTCAACGCGAGTACGTGAAACGATTTCGTTCGGAGCGTGTTTACCGCCGCAAATATTGACACTATACGTGGGACGTGCGACTTCAATCGGGAATTTTCTGCACGGTAAAATTCACATTCCAGCCAAGTCAACGAAGAAAAACTCGTGAAAAGAATATTTAAAAATATGATTGCCATAATGTCATAGCTAGTACAAGCGACATCAACTAAAGTTGTTGTATCACTCAATATTAACCGAGAGATTGCACTGTTGAGGTGATGTTTAACGGTTGAAATAACCTAGGCAGGTTGTACTATTATTGTTGTTGACACGCAATAAACACACGTCTTCTCGTCGCGTTACCTGAATCACAATATTCTTTGACTATTTGGCGTCGCAGCTCGTTTGGTATCACTTTGACTGCGCTTCGCCAACATCTTTGCTTTGATGTGCGAAGGAAACTAAATTAAAATTACCTTGCTGCAGTCCTCGACTAAAGCAATACCTGTGCGATGCTTGAGATAATATTACACTACTAATTTTACCATCGCTGTGTTGAACGTTTAAAGATTTTCTTTCAGAATTAGAATTTTTGTGCTTTATTTAGCTTGCAAAAAACATTTCGTTGCCGAAAATCATAAATTTTATTGTAAATCTTTTCACGTGCATTCATTTCCCCAGGTTGTGGAATCCTACTCGAAATGAGTTTTTCTTCCGCAACACCTTGCTTTTGAATTGGAGTACAACAGGCGTA